CCCCCCCCCCCCCCACCTCCTCTCCCCCACTCTCCCCGCAATTAGTGGTTCTTGTGTTTGGTGAATGGTCTATCATGCGGTTCTTGTCTTTGGATCCAGTTACCGACCACACAAGCGTTGAAACAGCGGAAGACTTTACAATCGCCATTATTCACTTTACAAAAATGCAACGGTAGAAAAACATGGGGAATGTGTGAAGTGGAATACGAAGAATGTTTGGTCGGTGAAATGTCGGAAATAATGGTTGGAGGGATTAGAACGTCATGTGAGTACAGTAACGTGCTAGTGCCCCTACCACTCACCCAGTGAGGTTCACCCGGGGTACTTTTGTTGCGTCGTGTATGAGACGGGTGTATGGAGACGTTTCAGTGTGTCTTTGGGTTAATGTGTAACACACTGTGGACTTTGAAATGTGCTTTGTCAAATAATGTGGTCATACCGCCAAATGAGTCACCTGATCACTACTTGGCTAGCTATATGCACCGTATCGCAGACATAATCGCGTGCCCCACAAGCGCAGGAACGATAATTCGATACGGTAATGCGGTTCCTACTGTGGTTTTACGGAGGAATAGTATAATGAAAGTCTAATTCAACAGGCAGCTATTTTATTCACAAGTATAGAAATATTAGACCGTCAGATATACGACGTATCGAATGAGAGCCCTGGGCATGGACAATCGGGCATGGGTTGGTGGTAGTGATTGTTAGTGGGCCGTGCTGCATCACGACTTCACGTTGAGCCAGACCCAACAGCTGACTTACTATAATTGCCTGATTCCGAACTGAGTTTTCATCCTGTCTTCATGCGCTGTTGAACGAGGACTTTTCCGATTTGAACAGTGGCTCAGCTGTAGAACTTCGTAGTTAAGTAAAGGAAATACCATCTCGAACATCACGCGTGGTAATTTAGAATTCGCGAAAACGTAGTAGAAGATGACGCACGACGTCACTTTCGTCGGTTCCACCCGCTCCTTTTTGCAATCCGCGAAATGTGTAATCGCAATGGTCACCGCTGCAAAACTGCGTGTGTGTACTCTGTAATTTTCATATATGGAAAATCATGGAATCGTGGGATGGACCTGTAACATTAGACACAGTTGGCAAGGGAAGATATTTTAGGGATAGGTCACGTAGCGCCTTCAAGATTCATTGAGTTATGGAGTCGTGGATAGCAGCCTATCACGATAAATGCGATTGATCGATCCACTTTACAATGGATCATCTTTTCCATGGGTTTTTAGATGTGTTTGATCGTCGTGCCGCTTCCACTACACCTGCCGCGTGTTCTAAAAATTCAATTTGTGATCAGTGCGCGTAATGTTTACGCTAGAATTGAATGATTGCCGTGCGGGTTCATTAGATGACTACGAGGTGGCTATATTTGTGTTCTAATTCAGACGGGAGAGTGGTTCCGCGGTTATGATCTTCCTCTGCAAACTCGGATCCTGCCATTCAGAGCGCTCGACCACGCGACCACGACATACCTTTGAATATATCTCACCCACCAGTTATTACAAATTTGCCGCGTGCGTGTGCGCGACCGTGGGAATTCGGATATAAGTACCGCCACCGACTATTGTGCTTACGGCGTCCCCAGGTTACCCGTAGTGGGTGTTATCCGTAAATGCCAGCAACACATTTTGTGTTTCCATGATTTCGTTATTCCCGATTTGTGAGCATTTGAGCAGAGTTCCATCTCATGCTGATCCTGTTGATGATGTCTCCCACCTTACGGGATTCTAACCATGACTGATATCGTGTGTTCGACGCATGCTGTATTCTGCAGTAAACGTAAGGGTTCGACCGCCCGCAGCGCTCACAACACTGGCGAAGCGTACGCAACAGTAGCTCAACACTGGAAGCAGACTGGCAGTTGTTAAACAAACTTTACAATCGAGGCGATTGCTCCAACTCATGACGAATCGCCTTCTGTATTCTGCTCCTAAAG